TTTGTATTACTGACGGATCATAAGCCCCTTTTACCGATATACGGGTCGAAAAAAGGAATCCCACAACACACCGCAAACCGTTTGCAAAGGTGGTGTTTGCAATTGAACAACTACGATTTTTCTATCGAATATCGTAACACGACCAAGTTTGGTCAAGCGGATGCCCTTTCCCGTCTGATTCCGCCAAATTCGGATCCTGAAGAAGATGTCGTGATTTCGCAGATAGAAATCGACATTTCAGCCGTTTTTGAGGATAAATTGAGCCAAATCCCAGTTTCACACAAGGAAATTGCTGAGCAAACTGAACAGGATTATTCACTCAGCAGTGTGATTGACTCTCTGAAAAGTGGTTCTTTTCCAGACTGTTTGCCAGGCTCGTCGTTGTACGCCTACAAAAGTCTTGTAAATAACTTGTCAATCCACCGAGGCTGTTTGTTTCTGAAAGAGCGAGTTGTTGTGCCGAAAAGGCTACAATCGCGAATCCTGAAAATGCTTCATGAAGGTCACCCGGGCCAAACGAGAATGAAATTGCTCGCAAAGCAATATGTGTACTGGATTGGCATGGATTCAGACATCGATCGCATCGTGAAAGAATGCGAAGGCTGTCAGAAAGCCCAGAAGATGCCTGTAAAAAGTGAATTGACTCCCTGGCCTACCCCAAATCGTCCAATGGAGCGCGTGCATATTGATTATGCCGGTCCGATTGATCAAAAAATGTATTTGATCGTTGTCGACGCTTACTCAAGATGGCCTGAAATCTTTGAGTGTAAGGTGGCAACAAGCCGAGTGACGATTGCCCAGTTGAGAGATGTTTTCTCCAGGTTCGGAGATCCGGAAACGCTCGTTTCGGATAACGGAACTCAATTCACTTCAAAGGAGTTTGAAGATTTCTGTAAGGAACGTGGAATTACCCATATTCGCACGCCGCCGTTCCATCCCCAGTCGAACGGATTGGCCGAACGTTTCGTCGATACCTTCAAGCGCGCTTTGAGCAAAGCCGCTGGTACGACTAACGCTGAAACTTTGCAAATATTTCTGCGAACTTATCGGTCCACCCCTTGCCCATCTTCACCAGAACAGCTATCTCCGGCTGAAAGGTTTATCGGGAGAAAGCTTGTTACTCCCATTGCTCGCTTGCGTCTGCCTCAGAGCAACAGCAATTCTTGTGCGAATCTCATCTTTCCGAAGGGGGAGAAGATGAAGATGGTTGAACAATACAACCGGAAGCACGGCGCAAAGAAGCGTTCCTACGAAATCGACCAGACTGTCTGGGTTCGAGATTATAAAATACCTAGCAAACCTGTCTGGGTAGAAGGACGTATTTCTAAATTGTGTGGAAAGTCCATGTACGAGGTTGAAACTACCTCTGGAGTCGTTTGGCGTCGACATGCCAACCAGCTTCGTGCTCGATTCGTTCGAGACGTACTCGATGATATCCTGGAAGAGTTCGATCTTGCCAGCGATGATAAAGTCAATGTGCAGGACACTGCTCCACCTTTTGACAAGCCTCTCGAGAAGCCAGCTGCATCATCCGCCACAACTCCTACATTGATTCCCCTTGCACCTGTTCCGAATGTTCCCCATCCCACCGCTCACCGGCCGACAACACCAACCAAGTCGCCAACGAAGTCGCATCCACGATCACCGGCAAGATCACCAGCCGTGCCGCGACGACCTCAAGTTGACCAGCCCGAAGTCGCTGCGCAACACCCTCAAATTGACCAACTCGATGACGTTGTTCAACACCCGCAAGGACGCGACGACGAACCTGAAGTTCGTCAACAAGATCAAGCACAACCTGCGAAGAAGACGAAGAAGACTGATGCCCTTGGACCGATCCTTCACCACAAGCGCATCCGGAAGCCGCCGTCGCGATATCAAGATTGAAGTGCCGTCAACGTCGTCTCCATCAAGCTCAACTTCATCACGAGTCAAGCTCTTCATTCAAGGAGGAAGATGTTGCGGAAGCAAGAGAAGAAAGTCTTTTGATTCAATTACGCGATGCCTGTACGGCGCACCCCTTTGCACTACGCCCTGTGTGCGCCCTCCCCGTCCCCCGGCACAAACCCCTTTTTTGTGCGTGTCTTTTTCATTCTTTCCACTCCGCCCGTCTTGTCTCGCTGCTTGTATTATTTTAGGCTATTGCCGTTGCCTAGATAAATACTTTGTCCTCTCTTCTTTCGTCATATCAATTCAGGTGTCAAACGACTCTCACGCAAGGTATCCCCTTGGTTCGAGTCAGCACTCAAGAACTCACGCACAGCCACACCTACAACAGAAACCAACCGGAAAATGCTGGCATGGCTCCAGGGGATTTGGGATAATATGTGGGAGTACGATAGCCGAACTAAAAGGTTTTAAAGGAGCTGTGAAGCGTCGTAATGGACGAAAGTTGTCGACTAGGTCACGAAAGCTATTTTTATGTGTCCAGTTTAGTTTAGACCTAGAGATAGTTTAGAATCCATAAAAACCCGGGCACCTAGATTGATTGGCCATTCTGAAGGTCTGAAGCGGCCATCCCGAGTAGCTGAATGGCCCTAACAGCTGGCAGCGGGGGCCCTAGCCCGGCGGCCCATTATGCTGATTTTAGGTGCGGCTAGAAGGGGCTGATGTCGAGATGAGGAAGAGAATTCCGAGAAAATCACGAATTTTATGCTAAATAAGGGGAAAATGCCGAAATCCCGACAAGTGAAGATCCCGACAGCCGGAGCTAGACCTGCAAAATAGCTGCTTAAAAGAAAGGGGAATTTAGATTAGCGTGAAGATAATGTCGGGATTTTGCCTGCCGAGTTTTTGATGGCAGGATTTTGGCCGTCGGCATTTTAAGTGTCGGGATTTTCGGGAGAGAGGGTGAGAGAGAGGGTGAGAGAGAACGCGCGCTAGAGAACGAGAGCGAGAGAGAGGGACAGAGACAGAGAGAGCGAGAGAGAGATACGGCAAATTTCCTGCATCATCCTGACTTAAAACTATTAGGGCTTAGCCAAAACAGTGCCATCTTTTTCAAAAATTCTATATTTTTACGCTGTTCGTATCGTTTTAGTTTTGCAAACAATTGAAGTGCCAAGCTATACCTCAAAAATCAATCTTTATCGGATTCTTCAGAACTTTCTTCGGATCCCTCGCTAACTGTTAGAGGTGAAGCCCGAATTTCGCGATATGTAACCTCGCTCAAAACCTCTTGCTCCACCAGAAACCCATCAGATACCTGGGCTGACATCGTCCGCTTGGGCTGCTAAAGTTCATTTTTATATAAATTCATTTTATTTTATACACCTCAATTTCCCCTTGCTTTTCCATTAATTCCTCCTTTTTCGCGGCTCTGGCAAAGTGCCAAAAGTCGAAGGTGGCCGCGAGTCCGTAGGCGATGAGTTGTAGCGTCCATAGGAGCAGGAGGAAAAGTGATAAAGCCTGAAAAAGGGTATTTAGGCTTAGGTCGTACTTACAAAGGCTACATTCGTGTTAAAATCATCGAAATTGAGCCCGTGAATGTAGAGCACGTTCCAGAGGCTGGCTCCCGAGAAGAAGGAGCACGAGAGGACTTCCTGGAAAGTTTTCATATGTGAAATAAGTCGAAAATTGTTGTAAAAGACATTTTACAGATAAAAAACATTAGCAAGACATTTTCATAGCTAATTTATGAGTCTTGTGACTACCTAAACATTTTTTAAGCTTTTCAGGCCTTTGAAAATTGATAAAGCATAGATAAAACATAACCCAAACATGTTTTTAAGTTTCTATGAGCTTTATAACTAATTTTAAAAGACCTTTTTGAGTTTTTAATGAATTTCAGAATGGCTTAAAAGCATTATAAAATAATTACAATTAATTTTTATAGCTTTTTTGGCTTCATTTACAGGTTGTATCACTGTTTTTCGTAGTTTTCACTATTTTTCTTGTAAATTAAATGTTTTTCTCTATTTTCCTGGTCAAAACTTTGTCATAAGCATTAATAAAAGCCTAAAACTAACCAAATAAGCCCATTCTGGGTCGTGAACCGAGTCCTCGGCCCAGGCCGTCCCCGCCATTACGAGCAGCAACGGAAAAACCTTGAGAAATTGCTTGAAAAACGCAACCAAAATCGCACCTACCTGCCATGAAGTGATTTTCGTCGACGGGTACTGTCTATTTTCCCATAATATAAATAATAGAGCAATTAGAAGCAGCTACAATCGAAAATTTATCCATTTTATAGCCCAAACATACCAAAGAAACGGTTTTTAAACTGTGCGGAAATCGGAGAAGTGTCTGTGGCTTCATTTTGTTAAATATAACTTTAAGAGTATGTAGAATAATGTTTAGGATTGGTTTTATATAATTAATAGGAATTCGAATGTTGGTAAGTACTATTTAGCCCCCAAGAGTTTCTCGCGGTTAGATGCGGCTTTAGCGACAACTGTTCAGCCTCCAAAAAAAAACACTGCAATTGCCCGGGTCTTTTAGTTTTTTTTTTTAGAAACCAAGAGAAATAGCCATTTTTATGTCAAAAATAGTCATATAATTACTTGATATTGGGGGAAAAAAATAGGTTTGATTTGATACAACTTCATTCTCGATTTCATCCCTTTTTTCTTGCTATTACAAGCAATATACCTTATTTCTAGCTGTTTTTCTCAGTTATATTTTTTGTTTTAAGATTTTTTTATCTCAGATTTTATTAAATTTTATTATTTATTTTTTACTTCCGATTTTCTCGCTCGGTGGATCCTCTTGTTTTCACGTCGTAACTGGTTGGCAGTTGTTTTCTCCTGGCGCTCGTAAACAATATTTTTTTGTGATAACGATCTATTGATCGGCTATTTTTGTAGTTTTTGTATGAAAATATGTGCAAAATTCTTCGCTTCATAAAGGAGGATAGCTTTTGAAAGTATTCGCAACCATTTTTCGCAATAAATCAAAATTTTATTTTTATTCACGTGTTTTCATGTTTTTATTACTATTTTTATAGTTTCTATGCTTTTCAGGGTTTGGCTTTTATTGTAATTTGATTGTTTTTTTCAGGAATGTCCTCCACGCCACATCGAATGCGGGCCGTCGCAAATCTCGGCACGCTGTTCACCGACGTCGGCCTTTTCGAGCGGTACGAACGAGCAGCGGCGGCCGGCTTCAATTTTTATCCCGGGGGGGTTTTTGTTTTTTTTTTCCTCTTCAAAAACACTTTTTTTTTTTGTGGTTTTTTTTTTTCCGTACTTTTTTATCCTTTTTTTTGGTTTTTTTTGTAATTTTTCTCTATTTTTAAAGTAAAAAATCACCTGGAAAACTTAAAAAAGTTGAAGGGTAGGGTATGAAAATTTCCAATTCTCAATATTTTTCAGCCGTCGAGATCCCGAATCCGTACACCGAAAAAGCGGAGTGCTTGCGTAAACGGGCGGACCGGCTCGGCCTCGCCCACGTGCTCATCAACGCCCCTGCAGGACCCGCCGAATACGGTGGAAAGGGGATTGCTGCTGTGCCCAAGGCTCGGAATCTTTTTGAAGAATCGATAAGGACGGCGATACATTATGCAAAGGCTAGTTGTAGTTAATAACCCTATTAATAGGTTACGTTTGCGGGTGAAGATTTTGTTTAGTTTTCCAGCGGAACAAACGTTGTTTTATGAGTTGAGATATGTATACTAGCGTAATATGCTATTTTTAATAGTATTTTTAGTAAAATTTCGCTATGTTTAAAGTAGAAAATCACCTGGAAAATTTAGAAAAGCTTTTACAAGTCGAAATTTTGGCCGAGAATTGACCATTTCTTGCAGAAACAAGGTTTTTGGAATGGATTTTATCAAAATTTGTAAAGTCTAAACTTTAGAAAGCCCTATAAAAATGTAGAAACACTTCTCAAGAACCCAAAATTTTTTCAGACCCTCTCCTGCCCCCGCATCCACATCATGGCCGGGATGGCCGAAGCCGGAAATTCTGAAGCGAAGCAGATCTACCGTTCCAACATCGGGCTAGCCGCTGAATTGGCGGCTGAAGAAGATATACTCTGTCTGATCGAGCCGATCAATTCCTACACCATCCCCGGCTACTTCCTCAACAGTTACGATCAAGCAGTTCAAGTTCTCGAGGATTTGGTGGGGTTTTTTGGAGTATTTAGGCTTATACTCAATCATGTAAACAGCTTAGCTTCACTACTTACCTATTAAATAAACTTTACGTCAAGTTTCCAGGGCAAGAAGCCAAATCTGAAGCTGATGTTCGACGTTTTCCACGCGCAACAAATTTGCGGGCAGCTGACGGCGACGGTGCGACAGTTGCGGCATTATATTGGTCATATTCAGGTGTGAAATATTGATAAAACTTGTTAAATTTTGATTATGTATAATCTATAGGATAATAATGTAATTAATTCGAAATTCCAGATAGCCCAAGTGCCAGCGCGCGGGCCGCCGGATAGCCCTGGAGAAATTGATTATCACTACGTCTTTCAGGTGAGGTTTTTGAAAGCTACATATTTTCCAGAGTCGCTTAAAATAGCTCTAGTTAATTTTAAAATTTTATAATGGATAATATTAATAAATTTTGCCTTATTCCAGATGCTAAAAGACGAGCTGAACCACCTGTCCAACATCGGCTGCGAATACAATTATAACGGAGAGAACTTTGATTGGGTCTCCGGGCTGGGATTAGAGTTTTAGTTTTGTAGCCTTGCCGGGACTGGACTGTTAGCGGGGGTGAAAACCGTCCCGGTTTGTCGCTTTTTAGAACCCAATGATGAAGCACAAATAACTTACCTAGCTTTTTACGCCGTTTTAGCACGCAAACTTCGTCGAGAAATCAAAACTTTCGGAAAATTCCCAAAAATGTCGAACTTAAATTTTCTAGGCCTTTTGATAGCGTTTTAGGTAGGAAAACGAATAAAAACAATAGAAAACATAATAAAGATTAAAAACTTGCTGTTCCACTCTCGCTAAAATCCGCCCGCGCTAATAGTCCAGTGCCGTATTTCTTTTTCCAAGTTTGAACTTGCCCGGTTGTGATTGATGATGTGTCCGGTTCTGATAAAGCTTATTTCCACTCCCTCAAGGCCAACCTAACGATATCTCCCAGATTGCAGCAGTATATGGGGGTTGAATGATGGGGCATGGATAGCAACGGCGGTCGACAGCCGATTTCTTTACATGGCTACAATTTCCGGGCCAGCTTTACCCTTCGGTCCCGGGCAGCCGATCGATATGCAGAGGCGCCCATGTTTATTTCATAAGAATTTCGATCGGCAACAGTCATGTGACCTGAATCATCGAAAAGCTAGCGCAGCTTCAGCTTTAGCGTTTTCAGTTATTGAGTTGATTTGCTTTGTTCCCGAAATATTTTGGGTAAATCGATCGGCATACAGAGAAAATAAACAAGTTGGGTTAGAGTTAAGTAAATTCAAGAGCCCTATAAAGATACATTCGACTCTCATTCAAAAAACGACCGACTTTATTGCGAACTGCCGTTCCCTAAAACGTGGCCCGGAGCTATGCGGAAATTAGGATGCACTAATGAGACGTTTTCCTGCTCATCTTCGCCCCCATAGTGCGTCGATTTCATTTTGCCGGCAAATCGATACCTTTACTTTAATGCAGCGAAGCTTATAGGGTTCCCTGACTAGTGAGGGTACGCGCGATACGACATCACGCTTCAAAAAAAAACCAGCGTAGCATGGATCAATTTTGATCAATCTGAAACTTGTTTTGTCATTGCAAATTGCAATGTCAAAAATGGCTTAGTACAAGTTTTAAAGGCTTCTTATCTCTTTTTCACCATCGTTTCTCACTTCTGCTGCACATCCTAAGAAATAAAGAGATTGAATTTCCAGTGCACTGACTTCAGCAGTTTTGAACAGCGTACTTCGTAGCTTAAAGGGGCTCCGAACTGCCAAATCAAAGCCCTTTTGGGAGGGCTCTTTGATTTCTGGCAAATTGCCAGCGGGCGGTGCGAGACGAGCCCTACTCTTTCGATTTTGCGCGAGTTGTTTTTGCCCGGTTTCTTTGTGAAAACACTATAATTCGCGCATTCTGAGCCCATTTTTGAAATCCTCACTCAATTTTAAATAGTTTTGGTGTTTTAATTATCAAATTTGGCCCAGAAACAGCCGAGAACGTGATTTCGAGGTGACAACAGGCAATTTCAAATTTTGCGAGCTTCCCGGCCCCTGGGCGTACAGAGGCCTCCCACGTACAGGGCTCCGATTTTCGGGCCGTCACTCATTTTTGGCATTTCGTAGCCCCTTTAAAGCTCTATAACGGTTCTTAAAGTCGCGTTTTCCTGTAAGCTGCACTTTCGTGAGAGCTACATCCTATCTTAACTACCCGTAAAAGCTTATTACTTTTGTAGGCGCCCCGTTTCCATAAGGATAAGCATCCGCGCTCACCCAGGCGCAGGTGATTTCCTGAATTTTCTCAAGCTCCCTCCACCAAACGCCCACTATTTCCTCTTTGGCAACCGGCCAGCCCAATCGCCTGAAACGTACCCGAAAAATCCATAGCACTACTTGAAACCTATTTTTGAGAAGATTATCACCACCATGGGTCTGTGGCATCGGGTGCGACCCCGTGGGTGGGCTACGGACTACAGCGATGTTCAAAAACGGCTGGCAGACACGAGCCCCCGGGGCCCATGGCAATAGACACACCCGATCGATATAGTGTCCCTTCGATACCGCGACGGCAGGCTTTACATCTGCGTTTTGTAAAATTAAAAAATTAGATGATTTGTTACGTTCTTTCTACATCGATTATACCTTCTTGTTTTTTAATGGCTACCTCCTCTGGTCGATTAAAAGCGCCAGAAACATAAAAAAACTATATATTGCTAATTTTAAACGGATTTTCGAACTGGGTTTTGTAGAATTAATAAATTTAGACGATTTTAAGCTATTGAGGTAGCGATGCTACCTTCTTCTTTTCTAGCCTTTACCCCTTCCAGCCAAATAAAGGAAACTTGAAAGCCCAAAAATGACTATATTCTTGTTTTTCAGCGCTTGTTCGACCAATTGTCAATTTAAGGAAACCTGTTTCGACCTTGATTTCATAGCTTTTCACGCTGTTTTCAATAACCTAAAGCCGCTATTAAAATAGATCAAAAGTGCCTATTTCAGGACCGCCTTCATGGCACCCATTTCTAAACCTACCCGGGGTCGGCCTGGTCGTCAGAAGGTGGGTTTACTTTAAGCCTCGAAGACGCTGAATTTACAAACGAATTAGTTGTAAAGCGTACTTTTCAGAAGCATCCCGGCACAACAATGGTCAAGGCCGAACCGGTTGAAGATGAGGGCCCGCAAGCTGACGGTGTTACGGTAAGCGAGAAAGTGAGAGCGAGAGATCGAGAGAGAGAGACAGAGAGAGTGAGAGCGAGAGTGCGAGAGATCGAGAGAGATAGAGACGCAAATGCAGAAGCATTCGTAATTAGGCGTCCACGTAGTACGCAAATGAACGTTCACTTTAATTCTTTAATTCGTTTTCGAAAACGTAAAGAGTAAAAAACGTACTATTTTTCAGCCAAACCGGCCGGTAAATGAAGAGGCGGAACCGATGGATATAACGGAACGTCCAACAATCGTTTTACAAGTACAGGAACTACCGAAAAAGCGTGTTACCAGGCGGAAGGTAGACAATTTTAAGTTTGTGACGCTTGGAACTTTTACTAAAAAATCAAAATATTAATATTGTTAGAAATATTGATTTTTAGAACGAGCCTGCGCGTGCGGTAGATGCGCAAGCGCCTCGGCTGCCAGCAGAAGCACCAAAAGCTAATGAACCGCGCAAACGAGCGCCATTTACAAAGGTTAGTTCCGAGAAATAAGCAATCATTTTTTTTATAAAAAATTTTTTTTTTTTTTTTTTTTTCTTTTTTTTTTTTTTTTTTTATTATTTTTTTTTTTTTTTTTTTTTTTGTGGATGAATATTATCTTTTTTTTTTTTTTTTTTTTTTTTTTTTAATTTTTTTTTTTTTTTTTATTTTTTAAAAAAAAATTTTTTTATTTTTTATTTAATTTTTTTTTTTTTTTTTTTTTTTTTTTTTTTTCCCCAGATAATAAAAATTTTGTTTTTTTTTTTTATTATTTTTTTTTTTTTTTTTTTTTTTTTTTTTTTTTTTAAAAATATTTTTTTTTTTTTTTTTTTTTTTTTTTGTGTGTTTTGGCTTTCCTTTCCCCTCCGCGGCCCGAAAAGGGGGGGGGTTTCTCGGCCTTTGCCCCAGCGAAAAAAGAAATTTTTTCTCTCCCTCTCTCCTCCCCCAAAAAAAAAAAATTTTTAAAAAAACTTTTTTCCCCTAAAAAAAATTTAAAAAAAAAAAAAAAAAAAGCCCCAAAGCTTCAAAATCCCTTTTAAAAAGTATTTTTCCTCCTCCAGAAAAAAAAAGAATTTTTTGGGCAGTTCCCCCCCAAAATTTAAAAAAAAATTAAAAATTTTTTTTTTTTTTTTTTTTTTTTGGGAAAAGGGGGGCTAGGTGTTTTTTCTATGAGCGAAATAAGATAATTTACTTAATAAAATACCTTTAGGAAAAGTTGGAAATTGAAATTAAAAAAAAAAAGCATTTTAGAAAAGAAATACCCCCAAGAAAAGCATCATCAGAGAAGAACCAGAAATCGCTATGGCGTCTATTAATGCGCAACCGGAACAACTGGTATATTTCGTGGATTTTAACTATATTTTTAAGTTTCTACAGTGCGTCTCCCCGATGAGGATCAGCCTCCCCCATGAGGGAAGCCGAGATGGGCCTCAAGAAAGCGTGACGCCACCACGTTAGTGAAACAATGTTTGTAGTTAATTTTCCGGTAGTTGCCGGCGTAGCTCGAACTCCTTCTCCCCCTCCACCCAAGAATGAGCCCGATACGAAGCCGATCCTGCTGGAAGCGAAGGAAAAGCCGAAGGTAAGAAGCACTGAAATACCGACATTCCAAACTTCGATAACACCGAGATTCAAAAACGCCGAAATTCCGAACGAATACGAGCCATAATCCCGACAGCCAAAATCCCGAAAGGTCAAAATGCCGATGAGCATAATCCCGGCAGGCCAAAATACCGACAGGCTAAAATCCCGGCTTGCAGACTTTCTTGAAGCTAGCTTACACGCGTCGGTATTCTGCTATCGTGATTTTGGCCTGTCGGCATTTTCGCGGATGGATTTTTCGCTGTCGGGATTCTCGCGTTTTCCCATCCCTAATATCTAGATTCGCAGTCAAAATTGGAATTTCGACATTTTGGCTTTCGGTATTTTGAGGGGTGCGCCTCGACTGTCGGTATTTTGGTATTCGGTGTTATGTAGTTCGGTGTAAGACAACAGAACGTATAATACCGATATTTTAAATTTTCAGCGCAAACCGCCAGCGCGAACACGCCGGATTCCGCCCAGCATCGAGCCGACCGGCCTGAAAATATTGGCCGACGCGGCGGCACAAATGGAATACTTGGCGAATGTCGCTGACATCAAGATGCCACATCCACGATATCCGCCGGTAAGCTAGCAATAAGCATACTATTACCAATAACATAAAAATTTAATCTGCTGCCGCAATATCGGGCGCTTTTTCAGGTCAGACCGGTAGCTGTTGTCGCCCCATCTGGAGGACAGGAGCTTCCGAGTGAGTTTAGAATGGCTTGTCCGGCTCCTTGTGCTCTGGGGTACTTAAGGAAAAATTTTTTTAGCAAGCACTGAACATTCGGCAGCACAGTCTGATGAGGAAGGGGATACCTACACTCTCTACGATCTGGATCAGCCGATTCCTGAGTGAGCTGACCACATTTAAAAATTACCAGATTTCTAGGGAAGAACTAATAGACCCGGAACTGGAGGTTGAACAGCCTTCGACAAGCCAAGGGCATAGATCCAGACGGGAGATCTCTATCGATCGGTAAGAACACTCAAAACAATTTTTTATAAATTTTTTTTAGAAAGAGACAAGCCGCCTATGACCGAGGACTGGCCCCGAAGCGTAATAGGTATATCAATCAACTTTTTTGGTCAAGTTTTTTGTTTAAGAATCCCGGAAACGGAGTACGAGGACACTGAAGACGACGAGCCAATCGATGTGGAATATGAGCGGGAGGCAGAAAGCCCGCATGGCGGATCCCAGAACAGTCAAAGCCAGGATTCTGACGACGAACCGATCGAAATCGAAAGCCGCCCCGAATCACCGCAACCAGATCCGGTGCTGAATTGCAAATGGATCAACTGCCAATTTTCCACACTGGATCAGGATGTGAGTTGTTGTAAGGTCGTACTTCCGAAGGAAAAGATACCGAAATTCCAAAACGCCTACAGGCAAAATACCGATATTCGCAAAAAAAAAAAAAATATTAAAAAAAAAAAAAAAAAAAAAAAAAAAAAAAAAAAAAAAAAAAAAAAAAAAAAAAAAAAAAAAAAAAAAAAAAAAAAAAAAAAAAAAAAAAAAAAAAAAAAAAAAAAAAAATTAAAAAAAAAAAAAAAAAAAAAAAAATCAAAATATCCAAATCCGAAAACGGCAAATCCAAAAAAAAGCAGAACCCAAAATACCGAAATTCCAAAATGCCAAAATTCCCCAACGAATCGCGAAATTCCTTAGCGCCAATTCGAAAAAAAATCCCGTCAACATGGCGAAACTATCGAAGCAATTTTACTGAAAATTTGTCGTTATTTAGTCATTTCATAATTTTCTAAAAAATGGGGGTTTTATTGTAATTTAGACAAAAATGATTTTCGACAGAATTGTTTCGACATTCTCATTTTGGACAAAATGAGTTCGACAAAACGAGTTCCGACAATTTAATTTTAAACAAAATCAGTACGTCAAAACGAGTTTCGAACGTTTAGCTTCCGACAAAATGGATTCGACGTTCTGATTTTCGACAGTTTTCTCGAAACATTCTAATTTTCGACAAAAAGAGTTTCGGTATTCTACGTTTCGACAAAATGATATAAACCTGGGTGTCTCTAGGCTTCAAATAAAACCATTTTCCAGGAATTTATTGCCCACTTCCACGACCACCTCCAAGCGATCAAGGACGACCCGACAAAGCCGTTTTGCTGTCGCTGGCGGGATTGTGACCGGAATACGTGGGTCTTTTTGCAGGATACCCCGAGTGTAGAGGAGAACGAGGGGGAAGAAGAACACCTCACAATCCGCCCGTTTAGGCGTCCCTTCAAGGCCTACTACATGCTCATGATCCATTCACGCGTACACTCCCTCGAGCGGCCCTATAAATGTGATGTAAGGGGTTCATGTCTTTTTATTCGTCTGGTTTATTAAAATAACCTAAAAATGGTACTTTGGTATTATCGGGGGTGGGGGTCCTCTACCATTAGGACTAAAATTGGTGCTTTGGCATTATCGGGGGGGGTTTCTCTCCCGTTAGGACTAAAACTGGAGCTTAAGCATTATCGGGGGGGGGGGCTATTTTTTGTTTGGGATCGATTTTTTTCTAATTTAAATGTGTTTCTGTTTTTTTTTGCTATTTGTAAAGCAAAATTTTAGATATTTCTATAAAAAATACGAAAATATCGTTTTTCGACAAAAATATGGATTTTCGACAATTCCCCTCCCCCCGATAATGCAAAAGCACCGAAAATAAGCGAATTTGGGAATTTTTTTTACGTAAAAATCAGAAAAAGGTTCAACTATATTTTTTTAGCGCTGCTCGAAAAGCTACCGTCGCCCGGAGAACCTGCGAACCCACATCAGCTCCCAACACACCCATACTCCAAACTATAAATGCAATATTTGCACGAAGGTGAGAAAAATTGAGCGCAAAAAAAAACAAATTTTTAGGCCTTCTACAACGCCTCCGACCGCAGCAAGCACGAAAATCGGACTCATGGAAAAACGGTAAGTGGCTAGACTTTGCTTTACCTTCCCCCAGCCCTGGGTTTTCAAAATTTTTCGGCATTTCCGCTATTTTGTCGGGATTTTGACTACGCCATTCGATAGAGCGTCAAAAAATACCTTAAGAGTTTTAATTTCATTTCAAAATAAAGTAAAATGGAGAAGTTATAGCGGAAAAAATTTTTGTAACGTCCGGCTGGGTAGAGAAAGTAATGCTTTACTTGGTAAACCGAAGTTTTTAACAAGTTTTAACACCTAAAAAATTGAAATTTAAGAAAATTGCTTTATATTTTCAATTCTAGAAAGAGTACGCGTGCCCCGAATTCGGCTGCTCGAAGGCGTACACCGACCCGTCGAGCCTGCGCAAGCACGTCATCAACGCGCACGGCAAAACCGCCTACGAGCGCATCAAGCTGAGCAAGACGATGGACAGCCAGGGACGGTGGCAAAAGGTACGAAAAATCTGGTTACTTTAAACTGTCGAAAATAATGTCAAAACCTCGCGAAGTCGCTATTTTATGCTGTCGAAATTTTCTAATATAGAAATTTCAAAATGTCGAAATACAGAACACCCAACCCAAAATGCCGAAATTCTAAAATACCGAAATCCCGACGGCCAGAATCCCGTAATATTCATGGCGCTAGTTCGAAAAAATCCCGACAACATAGCGAAATTAACGAATTCACGATACAGTAAGTAATATTGGAGTTTCGGCAATATGAATTTCGACATTCTGAACTTTCGGCATTATGAAATTTGAAGTTATAAAGTAAAGTAGCAAAGTAATTTGAATAACGGAAGATTCCTAAAAACGAATTTTCAGAGCCGCGTACCCTTCAGCAAAAGGCCACGCCCACCCCCAGTTCGCCGCCCGATGGAGCTCCAACCCGAGCCGGAAGAGACCGGAGACGACACCGAACAGCGTGTACTCCACATCGAAGAAACCAACGAAGACGTCGAAGCCGTCGACGTCGAGCCGGCCGTCGAGGAGCCCGAAGAGGAGTTCGACTCTGACGCTGAGGCTCGAAAGATCTTGATCCCGAAACTGAAGCGACAGTACTACGAGGTGGAAATGGATGGGAAGATCGAGGAAGTGACGACGGGGTATGAGTACGTGGATGAGAGCATTGCAAGGCCGGTGCCGCGGCGGGACGCTTCGATGCGGGTTACGGAGATACAAGAAGCGGAAATTGTTGCCGCGCAGGATGGGGGCAAGGAGAAGCAATTTGTGGTTATCAAGGATCCGGTGGAGGGAGATGTTGCTCATGAATTCGTGGAGATTATTCCGGAAGAGGTTCCGGCTCTTGAGCGAAAATCGACGACGAGACCAAGGAGGTCAAAGGTTAGCAAGAAGGTGCCCTCGCCTGATGTAATGCTTCCGGAAGATAAGTCGGAGAGAGTACCGGACTCAGCGCTGCAAGACCAACCGGAAGCCGACGGAAACGAGTCTAAAAACCTTCCGCCAGCGTCACCTACACCACATCCAGAAGAAACCTCAACTTCTCCGGTACCACTTAATCCGGAAGACTCAGATCCGGAAAATTACCCGATCTCCACTCAAAATGAAGATACGGACGCGGAACCTGATCCTGCTGATTTCCCCCGTAGATGCCCAGACCCAGGAAGCCGATCCGGAAACGGACGAGGAACCAGATATCGCCAACTACCCGGTTGAACCTACCGGTCAGGAAGCCGTTCCGGAAACGGAAGACGAACCAGATAATGCCAACTTCCCAGTTGCGGCTGAGGAGCACGAGGATCAGGAAGCAAATCCGGATACGGATGATGAACCGGATATCGCCAATTACCCTGTCCAAGTTGACGAGGAAGACCAAGAAACGGATCCGGAACCAGATCCTGATGATTTTCCGGTTGAAGAAGCCGGAAAAGATGCCGGAATTGGACCTCAGAGGCCGATTTCGATGCAGTCAGCCGGTGCTCGGGTCACACCGGAACTGGCAGATCCGGAAAATCAGCCAGATGATGTACCAAATGATGATGAACAAGATGATCCGGATACGGACCCGGAACCCGATCCGGATCATTTTCCGGTGGAACCTGACTATGATGCCGAGCAACAGGACGATGCTGAAGGCGACGACACGGATCCGGAACCTGATCCCGACAATTTCCCACTTGACGACGGCAATGATACGGACCCAGAACCGATGCCTGAACAATACCCGACCAGCCCGGGACCCCATAACGGCTTGCAAAGACTGTCGCTGCAGGACCCGCGATGGAGTGGCAACCAGCATCCGGGTATTTCTAGTTAGTTTTAGCAAAAAAAAACATTTTAGGGGACCGCACGCTCGACTTTGACATGGCCCAAGATTTCAGCATGGGCGACCAGACGGCGGCTGAATGGGTGGGGTGAAAAAAGCAATAAAAAACCCGATTTTCAGTCCCAGCAAATGAACATGGTCAGCCCGTCGTGGCAGCGCATGCAGCCGTATGATCAGATGCAGCAGCCTATGCATGGGCCGGAAGGTGGGTTCTAAATTAGCTTTAAAAAATGTATAAACGATAGATCCAAAAATAGCGGGTTCGAAATATCGATTTTTCGATGAAAATTGTATATTTTCTACAAAAATTTTCAATTTTCAGACTTTTTTAAATGTTTTAAACAGTTTTTCCTTTTTTAATATAGCTAAATATTATCAAAAACACCTTTTAAAAGACTTTTCATGTATTTTTCGACCGAAATTGTCTAGTTTTGACCAACATTTCAAAATCTCCATCCTTTTCTGAGTTTTCTAACCAGTTTTGGACTTGCAACATAGGTAAATAGCATCAAATACACCATAAAAATAAATTTTATTACATACTAAGTATTTCTCGCCTTATATCAGGTTGGATAATAAGTTCTGTCACAATTTTTTGGAATCGCTTGTTAAAGCTGCAGACGTGCCCAAATTATTAGTGGGATATATTGTTTGATAGGTATCCTCGAGCTCTACCTTGGGTGGACCCTCCTAGCACCCAAAAATCGAGAGTCGCCGAGACAGAGCTTCGAGAAGTTTTCCGCAAAAACGTACCAAACCGATTTTGCAAGCTATCTCTGCATAGAGCAATTTGCATGCGATACCTTTAACACCAATCGATAGCCCTCGAGGAGTAGATATCGATAGATGTTTAGATCATCAAAATCGGACATCGGATGGCCGAGATACGACCCCTTGAAATTTGGCCCATTTCTTAGAACTTTTCCCAAAAACCCATACATTTGATAGCCCGCGGCCAAAACTGACCGCTTGATTTTCAAAAGAACCGAGCGCATTTTGACCAAATGTATGGGTTTTTGGGAAAAGTTCTAACAAGGAGACGTTTTTGAGTGTCGTCGGGACATTGGCATGGGACCAAGCCTATATTGTGCAGAATTTTACGATGATTCCGAATATGGTAACCGTTTTTGCGGAATAGCCATTTCTCGAAAGTTATGAACGATTTAAACCTCAAAACAGCCCAAAATCGGCCACTTTCGATAGTCATAAACGACTTCGGAATAGGTTTTAGACGCGGCCAGATAGTGCATCTTGTTCAGAAAAAAATTTACTATGAAATGTATCATTTTCTCCAAAATCATTCAAAAGTTGGAAAAATTTGATTTAAATTTTCTATCAATTTTAAGAAAATTTTCAAAATTCCGTCATTTTTGAGTTAAGTACCTTGTTTGATAGAGAATTTTTTCTGAACCAGAATCACTCTCTGGTTTTCTGTAAAACCTATTCCAAAGCCTTTTATGACTATCGAAATGAGCCGATTTTGGGCTGTTTTGAGGCTTAAATCGTTCATAACTTTCGTGAAATGGCTATTCCGCAAAAACAGTTGCCATATTCGTAATCAGCGTAAAATTCTGCACCAGATAGGCTTGTTCCCATGCCAAAGTCCCGACGACACTTAAAGACGTCTCCTTGTAAGAAATGGGCCAAATTTCAAGGGGTCGTATCTCGGCCATCCGATGTCCGATTTTGATGATCTAAACATCTATCGATATCTACTCCTCGAGGGCTATCGATTGGTGTTAAAGGTATCGCATGCAAATTGCTCTATGCAGAGATAGCTTGTAAAATCGGTTTGGTACGTTTTTGCGAAAACATTCCCGGGCCTGTATCTCGACGTCCCTCAATTTTTGGGTCAGCTGATGGTCCTCCCAGAATAGAGTGTTGTGAGACCTATCAAACCATACCTCATACTCCAGAATCGGGAACATCTGCGATTTTAACGAGCGATTTCAAAAAATTGTGACAGAACTTATTATCCAACCTGATAGACCTCCCCCCGATAATATAAAAGCAACAAAAATATCGAAAACATTACGAACAGCTTCAGGACCTCGCCGTCACATGCGCATGGGCCCTGGGCAGATTCAGTACGAGTTCACCGCCCGAAAGACGGTCACCTACCCGGGCCACATGCCCAACTACCAGCCCCTCTACGCGCCGATGGCCGTGCAGTGTCAATTCTGCCCTCCTTGCCATCATCAACCTCCTCCACCCCCTCCCACTTATATGTACCAAATTCCCGACCCATCCCCACATCCCTCCACCTCTCGTCATCCACATCAGATGGCACCGTGGGGCCATCACCAGCAGCATCATCAATATTAGGGTACTGTGTTGTTAGCGGGGGAGTTTATTTTTAATTTTTTTCTATAGTTACTTGTTCATAATATAATGTTACAGTGTTATAGCGTTTCTTATATCGCCTTTAGCAGCTTTTGATTTCCAGAAGATTAACAAAATCAGGGTGGAATTTGATGGGAAAAAATCCCAAGACCACCTCCAGGTAGGACGACCCCCTCCAGGACGGCCGCGTAGCGGCCGAAAAAATTTTTAGCAAACTCCAACCCCTGATGTATAGATTTTTCGCGGAAAAAACGCAGTTTTTACGGCCACGGTTTTGCAGATCCGGACCGAATCCGCTTCTAACCTATCCGAAACTCTTCTGCTTTCACTGTTGCATCTTTTGATACCACTCACTAAGCACAAAAACTTTGTTTGGCAACCGCCAACCTTCTGATTTATGATTTTTACCCGGAAAAACATAGTTTTACCGCCACAGTTTTCCGGAACCGGCACGGATCGACCTCTAACTTACACCAATCGACGCGTCTTGCTCTTGCGCATCAGGTGATACCCATGAAAAGCCATGAAAACTTTGTTTGACAACCTCCACCCCCCGATTTATGCAAATTTGAGCCAAAAAACACAGTTTTACAGCCACCGTTTTCCGGATACGGTCCGGATCGACTTCTAACTTACACCAATCGACGCGTCTTGCTCTTGCGCATCAGGTGATACCCATGAAAAGCCATGAAAACTTTGTTTGACAACCTCCAACCCCTAATTTAGGCAAATTTCAGCCAAAAAACAGACATTTCAGGTCACAGATTTCCGGAACCCAGACGGATCCACTTCTAACCTACACCAATCGACGCGTCTTGCTCTTGCGCATCAGGTGATACCCATCAAAAGCCAGGAAAACTTTGTTTGACAACCTCCACCCCCCTTTTTTGTTTTCTCCCAATTAGAAAACCGGTGAATTTCACCTGAAATTTTCCCCGCTCTTTTCCGGTTTTCTCGGCCGGCTTAGCCGATACTGCCCGGCTGACCACCTCCTCTGGTAGGTGGGCCAAAGGGGCTTGTCTCCCAAAAATTTGGTCCGGTTCGGACCTATAGGCAAAAAATGAAAATAGAAACAAAATTTTTCTAATTGGGAGAATTTATGGGATTTCAGTTTTTGCGTAGCCATTCAAATCAACTTTTCTCCCGATTCCGCGATGTTTATGGTATGTGTAGGACCTCCCTGAATAGCCTGAAGATTTCTCTATCCGATGAAGTGGTTTTTACCTCCCCCCTAACCCCGCTTCGCGGGGGAAAAAAGAAAAACTAATTGGGAAATAATTGGGAGAAAATAGAAATCGCGGAAAAAAACGTTTTTCCCCCTTTTCCACACATTTCTACTGCTTTTCCTCTTTATATAACACGGTCTTATGCCTCTCCTGTCTCAACCCGGTCTTTTTGCTTGATTTCCTGCCGTCGGCGGGGGCCGAACCAGGGTTAACTGTCGTGCTACCGTAACCCGCACCAGAAAAAAGGCGGTGGAGGTTGTCAAACAAAGTTTTCATGGCTTTTCATGGATATCACCTGATGCGGAAGAGCAAGACGCGTCGATTGGTGTAGGTTAGAAGTGGATCCGTCTGGGTTCCGGAAATCTGTGACCTGAAATGTCTGTTTTTTGGCTGAAATTTGCATAAATTAGGGGTTCGAGGTTGTCAAACAAAGTTTTCATGGCTTTTCATGGGTATCACCTGATGCGGAAGAGCAAGACGCGTCGATTGGTGTAGGTTAGAAGTCGATCCGGACCGTATCCGGAAAACGGTGGCCGTAAAACTGTGTTTTTTGGCTGCTTAGGCTTAGGATTAGGCCGCGAAGCGGCCGCAAAAAAATTCCATCCCGTTTTTGACCACCTCCAGACAAGACGACCACCTCCAGGCAGCAACCCCCAAATTCTCCCAGTCAAATTCCACCCTGAACAAAATATTGAGCAGAATTGTCGAATTTTCATTTTTTTTACCTTCTTTGCCCATTTTGTATACATTTTCGGACAAAAATTCGAAAATTCAAACAAGCTAAGGTGTAGTGAAAGTATAATTATGTGCTTTTTATACCTAAAAAAGTAAAAGTCCATAAAAATTGTTCATATCTAGTAAATATTCTGAAATTCTGCTAAAAACTACTAAAAACACTACAAAGCGTCAAATATTTTGCTAGTTAGTTTTTATACCTAAAAATCAGGTAAAATGTGATTAAATTATTTATATTGCGCTTTATGGCCATAGATATGAGTGGAAAAATTGGCTTCCCCCGCTAACAGTCCAGCACCATCTATTTCTGCTTTTTGCTGGCTTGCACCCCTTCCCAATTCCGTTTTTATATACTATTCTCATTACCCTTTTCGATGTTCTAATCCTCCTTTCCCCGATCTTCCACTCCACAAGCATTCAAAATGTGTGTATATGTGCCCCTAAGGATCTGCAAAAATGACAAACGACCATAGTACACCTTATTGGTAGTATTTTTAGCCAATTTGTCCAGTTTCCCCGTGTAGTAATCCCTTTAGTCTCCGTTTTTTCGGAAATTTTTAGTTTTCGATTTATTTTCTGCGATTTTGTGGTTTAGGACAGCATTCCTAGTGGCCGGGGCTGCATCCTTACGCGGCTGACGCTTACATATCTCACCCCCTACAATTCCACGGTGGTCAAAACATCCGGATTTTTCTCTGTGAAGTAATAAATGATTGGCTTTGTTTGACTTTTGAAAAACACGGAACACAAACGACGCAGCGAACAAAATTAGACGGAAAGAAGCTTCAAACTTCTTCGCTTCGAAAACTTCGAAACTTCGAGTGAGAAGCTTCTTCGGTCGTGGCCTCTAAGGCAACATCGGTCTTCTTTACCGTAGCACCCCGAGAGATGCCGCGGAGCATTACGGAAAACTTGTCAGGGAATCGCGGCGTCGAATTTTTCCAATCAAGCATTTCTTTTTATTCCTTTTTCAAAAATCGCGCCGTCGAATTTTTCAAATCAACCATTTCTTTTTCTTATTCTTAATTTAACCCTTTTTCAAAAATAAAAGGGCTTTCATAAGATTGAATTTCTTGGATAGATAATTTGTGAGAATCCGCGTAGCGAAAATTTCAAATCTGAACATTTCCGCTTCTTTACATTGGCGTAAAATATCTTTATCTTCGTTTCCCTCATTTCCTTCTATAAAACTAAAATTACCCCCCGTTCCAGGCGCTCCTCGCATCTGGCTGAGCTGCCCAGTCGTCCAGCCATGAATGACGGGCCGATCACCCAGTTCCAAGCGCTGCTCATGGAGGTGATCACCAACAGCGAGCGTGAGAGCATTCTGCGACCGGGCGAAGTGGGCCCATATCGTCTGACGCCGTTCCTGAAGCAACAAGTCGCACTGACGCAGCGTGTGATACCGCATCTGTCCAATGGAGATTCATTCTACCATCGCTCGCAAATGACTCAAATGGTTGGTTGGTTACCTCTCATTTTTCCCCTAGGGTTTTTGGGACTGGGTTCCGTTCTGTGGTAAATAACTTTTTTTTGCAGATGCAAGCCGACGCAAAGCGCCGCAGTTTGGTGATGCACCAGCAGCGCCGAGAAGCGCTCTTGGATAGCTACATGAAGAACCAGCAGAGCTTGGATAAACTCCGGGTAAATTTCGCGTTTGTTTTTTTCACCATGTTCTTTCAGAAACCATTTGATCCGGATCGCATGACAGTATGTATGGAAGTCAGCCATCAATATCACATCGGCATGCTATCGCCGCTGAAGCCGCAACCAGAGGGCACCGATTCGATCGTACGCGTAATCGCTGATACCGGCGCCAATGTTGTATTCCCGGACCGGGAAGAGAGTTCGGCGGTCGATTCCACGGTATGCTTTGTCAGCGCACACTGATTTCTTGTGTTGTTTTTAGTCCCGGCAATACATCGTCGCCGGCATAGGCAAGGAGAGCTCGCAGAAATTCCGGAACCAGATACTCATTTCCGGCCGTGCACAATGCGTCAACGAGGCCAGGAAACGAATCCGAGTATATTTGAGATTCGCGACGAATGTTATAATTTTAGGCGCTCACACCGGTCGTCGTCTATTTCCCGGTACCCGATGGACGGCACAAGTACACGTGTGAGACCCTGCGCGATTGCATTGAGAAGGCCAGGGCAATCGGATTTTTGAGCAATGTCACCGTCGACATTCAACTAATGGCCGTCGAGCAATCGGCTGATTTAAACGACCAGCACGCAGCCGACGATGAACCGGTACACCAACGCATTTTTCCAATCAATCCGCGATTTAGTCTGGTGTCGTCGTGCAGGTACATGGACGTTTTGGTGATTTGCGCGCCATTGATGATGCTTGCGAATATATTCGGTAGGGCCTTTCTGAAGTGCGCTTTATAGCCTGAATTTTAGCTTGAAAATCTTCGACACTGAAGAAAGGGAAAGAATTACCTTCTGCTCGCAGATCGAAGTCGGCTTTGCTCAGTGTAGCATGCTTCAAACCGCCGGCTCCAAGCTGGGAAAGCTGATCTCGCAGACGACTCGCGCTGCTCTGCACTTTCCGCGGCAACCCGATCAAAACTCGAACTCAACGCTCTTTTGCACGGCGCAATGCCAGAAATCAGTGCTGAAGGCTGTGGAACACCTGATGGTACGTTTGAATGGCTTTTCTCGCTTTCCGAAGTGTGCTATTTTCCAATGACGCTGTTGTTTTAGGCCCTTTCCCCGCTGCAATTGTTGGTTGATGTATACCAGTCCGACGTGCGCAAGACGGGATGCGAGTTCGACTTCCGTAATAATTGGATAGAACAATACGTCTCCATCTTCACTACCGGCAGTGACTATCAGCCAAAGGGAGCACTTGAGTGCGAGAAGAAATGCGTGTTCTTTGCGTTTGCAACTGTGGTAATGCCTTTTCGGCCTTGTTTTTTTATTATGAATTTAGGAAATCAACGCGGCGGATCTTTTTGGGCTTGCACGAAGCTACTTCGACAAGCGCCTCTTCCACGGAATCGATATGCTCGAATTTCCAGCGGTGCCACACCTTGAGAATCTGAAGTGTGCTTCCCGCGAGCACATTGGACTTCTGCGCGTAGCGGTGAGCATTACCTTTATCTTTATCATATTCTTCTAGTGCGCTGCTTTTCCAATGGAAGCGTTCGCAACGCCGAAAGATCCAGATGAAGAAATGGCCCGGGAGGGAGAGCATGGTATAGACAAACTCTTGGATTCTCACCGAGATAATCTTAGCACTGCGCAAAGATTATATGAGCAACAATTCGCGCTCCCATGATGGCGGTCACTATGGCCAGGGTCAAGGATCGACAAGCTACAACAGGAACTACGGAAACGTAATTTTATTTCCATGAAAGAGACGCTTTTTCTAGAATTTCGAGCGACGCTCCAACTTCAACAGACAGAGCAGCTTCAATCGCTACAATGGCAATGGTGGCGGAATGAGAAAGGACAACTTCCCGCGTCGCGACAGCTACTATGCCGGAAGCAATTATCAGAACCGGGGTTACGACTACAACAACAAGATGAGCTACAACCAGAGTGATTTTTATCATCGCGACGCTTATGGAAGCAACGTAAGAACTTCTTCCCTAGTGAAGCAAATCTTTGTTTCAGCGCAATCGCCGGAACTTTCCCACTGAGCCAAACCTCTACGAAAATACGTCACACCGCGACTGGAACTCTGCCAAGTACGCAAGCGCCAGCTACAATAACCTCGCGGAGGCACATCAACAACAGCATCAGTACAGTCGCCAGCCTAGCTACAACAACGGCCATAGTCAAGCCAGGTATCATTTCACGATACGAATGCTCATGTAATTTAGGTCGAACAATTCGCACGTAAACAGCTACCCGAGTAATCTGAACAACTCGCGCAACTCGGAACAAAACCTGCGTCGTATGCAGCCGCGCCATCATTCTGGAGAAAGAATGCGAAATGAGCACCATCAGCGGTACTACAATGATCAGGTACCGCCTGGTAAAATTGAATATGACCTTTTTTCAGCCCAAAATGGACGGGGCGGCGAATGAAATCCGACGCATTCCGAGTGAGGAGTTCCCTCGTGCCCAGCCGGAACCCGACGAGCGAGCCAAGACGTCGAAAATATCGCTGCAGCTCAAGGATACTACAGAATCGCCGAATGTACAGGCCATGCATCACAAAGTGTAAGCCTTGTTCGAGCCGCTGTATGTATTCAGAGGGGACCGCGTCGATTACAACCGTGCGCGCCCGGTCCGATACGACACCAAGAAGCAGTTGGTTTTTTCTTTAGATTTTTTGTGAAAAAGGCTAACTATTTGCTTCCTTCTTTCCCTATTAACGTTCTTTAGGTTTCCCAACACCCGCAAAACAGGTGATTCACGCGCTTCCGCATATGGCGCCTTTCCAGCAATTCCAACCCCGCGATACGCAAGGGAGGACCACAGCGGTAAATTTGGGTTTTGATGCAAAATAATTTTGTTTTTAGATTACGAGGACAACAAGGAGAACCGAACCAGGACCCCGACGCAGCGCTCGCCTACCCTTTCGCCAACAAGCATGACCAGCTACGCCGAAGTGACGGCGGCCAACAAGACCGGAGAACGGTCAGTGGATTTTGAAATTCGCGGTTATGACCTTTGGCATCATATCTGTCATTCTTTTTCACAACGTCTGATTTAGGATGCCGCCTATGGAATTGATCCAGAAAGCCTCTACCGGACAACATCTTCGCGAGATGCCCCACGAGCTTCTGCAAGACGACCGCGAAGACATGGGGCAGAGTGGTCAAGACACGCGCACCTATGCGCAGATCGCAGGATCCAACGAACCGAGGAAGCAGGGTTATAAGTAAGCACTTTGCCGTCTTCTTTTTACACCACCTTTTTCAGCCATCCGAACCAAGTCGACTCGCCGAGTGACGAGTCTTATCAGTCGGCGTTCGCGATGGAGGGCGGCGGTCATCGTGGCGCTGGACCCGTCTCGCCAAGGGCCTCCACCTCTTCTCCTCCATCGCCCTTCCATTCCAACGCCCAAATGCCCCATCTTCGTCGTTCGACTCCATGTAAGGCTTACCAACCGTTACCAATACTTTCTTTTAGACTAAAGAGCCGCGTTGCGCGCACAAGACACCTTCGAAAAGATCTCCCGCGAACCGTCGATACACCCGAATTCACCAACCCACTGCTCAAGATACTAGAGTGGAAGAGACGTTTTTCTTTTTAACCTTTTTGTAGATTCAAGCTATCATGCTGAATTTTAAATCTCTCCCGTGACACTTGTGCAAGCGTTTATACTTTTTAGTTTCTCTTTATGCATAAATTTTTACTCCTGTCAGTTGCTCAGTTTTTACTCACGGCGAATGAGCCTGGCAAAAAAGTACACTCAACAGACCAGGAATGAAAACGGTGGCATCGGCTTTGGAATGGTTCAACTCGGGCCGCATTTTGATAAGAGGCTTGTCCAGATTTTTGCCCCCGAGCGCCCACTAGTTTTGGCGATGACTGCCGGCGACTATATGCTGCTGTTTTTCTTCTTTGTTGTGGCAGTTGCTGCTCAAGAGAATATTCCGGTTGATGGTGACAAGACTCTTCAATTTGTGCAAGTGGTGGGGGATCATTGCGTTGTACTTTGCTGAGGTGATGCGCGCGAAGGAGCTGTAAATGGCGTGCCTCAACTTGACCCTGAGGAGCACGAAGTCATTTACGGCCGGCGCTCGGCTAAACTCATCGGTTCTTTAGGATTTCCGGGGGCTCTGTTTCGAGTGGCGCGGCTGCCGGCGCGGTAACGCCCTCTGGCACGGCTGCCGGCACGATGGCACGGTTGCCGGCGAACGAAAATTCGGCGCGGCTGCCGGGCCAGCCTTCGGCACGGCTGCCGGCACACCTTGGACGGCTCCAGGGAGGCCAGAGGCGGCACGGCTGCCGGCACGGTAGTTGGCGCGGCTGCCGGCACAGCTGCACGCACGGCTGCCGGCAGACCACTTCGCAGAGCCGCAACGCGCCATAACTTAGAAAAATTTCGGCCGCGCGCTAAGTATTGTTTTTGTCATAATAATTCTTCAAAACTTATTATATTGCCGCATTTATGTCATGTCCAAGAAGGAATAGGTACTACGCCATCAGGTACGCGGTTTCTTACTTACTTTTAGGTATAATTTGTTTGTTATACGCTTGACATTTCAGGTGAAACCTTTAGATGACAAGTATGAGGCAAGAAAAGTCCAACAACATCCTTCATGGTCGAAGAACTGGCTTAATTGATGATATCTAGCAGGTACATTGCTAATCGAGTTTAGATAGAAGCTTTTCGACCGGCAATCCGGTCCGGTAATTTATTTACATTGAAAATATGGATATTTGCCCCATGTTACAAACAACGATTGTTTGGTGGGTATAATTTACCATTTTTTCAGGCGCTGAACCCTAACAAGGATACCTCCCCAGCTCGAAGTTCAACTTCGTTTGGCTAAATAGCCTATCAGATGCAGTTTTTTCGCGCTGATCACGATCCCGATATTTATTTTTGCCCAAATCGACAGGAACACTATTAAAAATCATTTTAAACATTGCGCGGTTTTTGCCTGGCTGGGCGCGATCCGCCGCACGGGCTTCAAAGCCTCTTGCCAAGGGGAGGCATCCAACGGCGGCGTGGCCGAGGGGTAAGTGCCTGGCCTCCCCAAACCAAAGGGCCCGAGTTCGATTCTTTCGGCTGACGACTTTTTTGCTTTTTGCCGGAAAAAGTGCTGTGCACGCCTTATAGGTCGTCACAACCATTTTTTGTTTTTCAATTACTGAATTAGCCCTGAAATGGCTTTATTATAACACGAAACATTCTTGTTTTTGGAATATGACGGAAAAATTGTGTAATGAAGTAAGAAAAGGAAAAGCCCCCCAAAGAGCTTTGTTTTGTAGTTTGTACGTTTGACTTTTCCGGCAAAAAGCAAAAAAGCCGTCAGCCGAAAGAATCGAACTCGGGCCCTTTGGTTTGGGGAGGCCAGGCACTTACCCCTCGGCCACGCCGCCGATGGATGCCTACCCTTGGCAAGAGGCTTTGAAGCCCGTGCGGCGGATCGCGCCCAGCCAAGCAAAAACCGCGCAATGTTTAAAATGATTTTTAATGGTGTTCCTGTGGATTTGGGCAAAAATAAATATTGGGATCGTGATCAGCGCGAAAAACTGCATCTGATAGGCTATTTAGCCAACCGAAGTTGAACTTCGAGCTGGGGAGGTATCCTTGTAAGTGGCGCTTTTCTCACGCTAGAATTAGTTTTTCCAATGTTGAGGGATTCTAGACAAGCTGCAAAGACTGCAAGAAGAAAGTAAGTCGTTGTGAACTTCTTGAGCAATCATTGAATAGAATCTAGTTACTAGGCCAACACTACAAGATGCTCGGCACGTCTATCGTCACGTTTAATCGTAAGTTCACCAAGAAAAAGACTGGCACCGATTTATGAACAATAGAAAACCAAAGAAACCAACTAATTTAGTTATTACTGCGGCTTGCGTTTCAACTACGCGACGGTGACGGCGATATGCTTCAACCACCACTTAAAAGCGATAAAAAAAAGAATAAGCAATGCGTTTTAATATGCCGAAAATGCGTAGGTGTGCCGGCAGCCGTGCCACCCATTTTCGGCCCAGTTGCCGGCGCGGCGTGCCGGCAGGCGTCCACGGCACGGCTGCCCGGCGCGACATTCGGCACCGTGCCGAAGGTGTGCTGGCAGCCGCGCCACTCGAAACAGGGGGGAAGTATTTCCGGGGAACCAAATTTTTCTGCCCAAGCCTAAATTTTTTCGGTTCTTTAGGTTCCTGGGGAAGTATTCCCGGGGGAAAACAATTTTTCGGCGAAGCCTAGATTTTTGTATAAATTGCGGATGCGTCTCAATTGTTTTTAACTATTCCTGTGCATAAAACTACACACATTTTACCAAAAAATGTAAAAATTAAAATTAGGTCGAAAATAGACCCAAAATGACCAATTTTCGACTTTTTCAAACATTTTTCTAAATTTTTCTGAGTTATTCCGCTCTAAATATAGTTAAACTTACTAAAACAATTCGAAACACTTTATATTTGATTACTGGCCAACCGGGACCACCAGGAAAATTGGTTTCCCGGGAATACTTTCCCCCCCGGGAATCCTAAGAACCTTTTTTTCTAAATGCGCATTCTAAAAGTTTTTAACTATTCCTGAGCATAAAAATACCCACATTTTAATTAAAAGTAAATTTTGGTCGAAAATCCTATAGAACCTTTAGGATTAGCGGGGGAAAGCCCAAAATGACCAATTTTCGACTTTTTCAAACATTTTCTCTTTTTGAAAGGTTTTTCTCTTTAAATATAGTTAAAATTTACTAAAACAATGTGACCTTTATATTTGATTACTAGGTCAACCGGGAAACCAGGAATTTGGTTTCCCCCCGGAATACTCCCCGGAAATCCCCCCGGAAATCCTAAGAACCAACTCATCAAACTTTTTCAGATCTGGCGCCACGGGGATCGCTCACCAACGACGACATGCGGCACCGACCAATTCCAAGAGGAAACATGGACCTTTGGAGGCGGAGGATGGGGTCAACTGTCGCCGGTTTGTACCTTTGTAAAGTTTTCTACGGCTTTTCATGCCAGATCGGCATGCAGCAGCACGTATCCCTGGGGAACAAACTGCGCCAGCGCTACATCGACACCAAATTCCTGGCCGAAAATTACCGAGCTGACGAGGTGGGCTCGGTTCAGGACTTTTGAAAGTGTGACTACTTTTCAGGTCTACTTCCGGTCCACCGACGTGAACCGTACTTTACTGTCGGCGGTGTCAAATACGATAGGTAATTTATGAATAGCGTAAAAGTTGTAAGAGCCACAGATTCGGGCAGGGATATTGAGTTTTCCCAGGGATGTACGGCCAGGGCAGCGCCGTCAAAGGCGTCTGGGGCAACATCCCGGATTTCGGGCCCGACGTCAACTACACGTGGCCCGCCTTTTTCATCCCGATCCCCATCCACACGACGTACAACCCGACGGACTATGTGACTTTTTTAGTTAGTTTTTCTTATAGAAAACTGGCTTCAGTACGGGAACCCGGACGCCGATTGCCCGCGCCAAACCGCTTTGTGGCAAACCGCACAAACGACGCCCGAAATTTCGAAGCTGCTCAATGATGACAATGTGGGTTTTAGCGGTGTTTTTTGACTTTATAGAACTTTTTCCAGACGAAAAAGGTCTTCTCCATACTTGCCGAGAAGTGCGGCAAGCAGTACAAGCTTGAGGATCTCTGGGAGGTCATCGACGCGTTTTTCATTGAGGTAGATGTCGTTCTTTTAGACAAAACAAAGATTGCTAGCGCGTTTACAATCTCAGCAACCCGGCATGGATGGATGACGACCTTTTCAACAACGTTTTTAACCTCAACAACATCGCCCAGGACTTTGTCAACGGGATCGGTGCGTTTTTCGCTGAATTTTAGGTATAAGGGACAGTCCTAGGTGAAGAGCATCTACAATATGCAATTTTCAGGTGTATCTGCGCTTAATGGAGTTGATATTTCGACGGAGACGCGCCGCATCCGCTCGGGCGCTATGTTCAACCTCTGTAAGGCGAAGATATTCCCCTTTTTTACATTTTAATTTAGTTAACGATCAAATCAAGCAAAAACGAGATTGTGTCACATCCAACGGGACCAAGTGCAGCCATTGGTTGAAAAATCTCAAGTATTTTGTGTATTCGGCGGTGAGTTGTTAGCTATAATTACGCTGAAAAGCTCATCTTCAGCACGACACGACAGTGTACGCCTACCTGACCGCGCTCAACTCTGAGAAGCTGGTGATCAAGGACGGTGGATATCCGCATTATTCAGCCGCGGTGCTCACCGAGTATTGGCGCGATACGGCGGGGAAGGACTATGTCAAGGTAATCTTCATAGGCGAAAGTTCTATAGTTTTAGTTCGTCTACCACAACGGCTACCAGGACGGCTTCACCGTGTTCACTGACCAGGTGCCGATCTGCAACGGCTCGCACATCTACTGCCCGCTGGAGAACTACAGCCAGGTTGGGAGGCAAACTTCGGGTTTTACGTTTTCGAATAAACTCTGAAAACCTGAATTT